GCTCTAATAAGCTAAGTTAACGCTTAACGCAGGTAAGCTGCTGCGCAGCTTACCTAGGGGGTGTGTCGCGTATACTAAGAGCCTTAGCTAGGGCTCAGAGCCTGGGACTGGGGCTCAGAGCCTGGGACTGGGGGCTCAGAGCCTGGGACGCAGCTCGGGATCTAGAGATATTATGTTCCGAAGCTTAGTGTATATAAGAAGAGCCTTCGGCTCTCTTAGATAGCGGAGTCACTTTATCTAATCTTCTGAACAGCTACTGCCAGGCTATTTTATCCTCCACAGCTTTTTATTATTTTTTAGAGTAGTAACTACTTTTTAAACTAGTATAAAAAAGAAAATCTACTTTCGAATTAAGTTATTATAATTTTTAAGCGCAGCTAAACTACTAATTAGCTTAGTCTAGACTTGTTAAAGCACTTTAACGCACATATAAAGAAGTATACTATTAGCAGCTACTATCTGCTAGTTATTAATAGCTATAAAAGCTAAAACTTACTTTATTTTTAGTAATACTATAAAGATAATAAAATTATTACTATTTATATACTTTTTTACTTATTACACTTTTTATAGCTACGTAATGTAGGTTGTTTTGCTTCTTTAAAAAAGGTATATAAGTGCTAAGCTAAAAACTTTATGCATAACTAGATTACTTATATTATAAAAATAAAGTTCCTACTATGCTTTAAAGTAGCCTATAATGCTATAATTACTTTTAGTAATATCTAAGAAAGGTTTTAAGGCGCTAGATTAGTTCTTTTTAACCTATAATAAGTTATAATAAGCCTTAATGTAAAGTTGCGCACTTTATTACTACTACTACCTATATATAATAAGCCCTAGTAGTTGTAAACCTTAAGTAATACCCTAGAACTTAAGTTATAATTAATACTTATAAAAATAAAAATTTAGAAGTATATAAATAGTTTACTAACTTTTATAGTTAAGGTGTTTAAAAAGGTCTTAAAAGGGGCAGTAATAATTACGCATAAGCTAGTGTTAGTGTAATAGAAAATTACTAAGCTTTAAGCAGCTAATAAGGCTGCTACATAACATAAATTACATAAAAAAAAGCAGATTAAGGCAGAAAAAACCTTAATAATTTAAAAAAGCCTATGCTTAACAGCTCTAAAGGAGTTTAAAGCGCGCAGTAACAGGAAGAAGGTAAAGAAGCAGGTGCAAGCTAAAGTAGGTAAGCTATCCTAAAGGCGCTGCAGATAGTGCAATTAGACTAGGCATAACACGCAAACATGTAAGTAAGAAGTAGAAGTAGTATCTAAATAATATTCTAGGCTGTACTGTACTATATAGTGCTAGAGCAGGTTGTTATAGGCTATAATAGAGTTTGTTAGGGTGGGGTCTTGGCAAAAGTAAGCGACTCAGGTGTGTGAGCAACTCGCCTATGAAGTACGTTATATTATAAAACTTAACTTCTTACTATGCTTTATACACGCTTATAATATAGTAATTACTTTTAGTAATATTTAAAAAGAGGTTTAAAGCGCTAGTTTAGTTCTATTTAACCTAAAATAGGTTAAAATAGCCCTTAATATTTAGTTATATACTTTTGTCAGATATGCGCACCTACTGTCAAGACAGGAGGAACGTTTGACGAAAGCTGCTACATAGTACAAGCAATAAGCTCGAACAGTATGTTGCAGCA